TTTTGGCAGCCTCCCCTTGTCAGCTGCCCTGCAGAACCCTCAGCAGGAGGTGCAGAAGATCCTGCAGTTCTTGGGCAAGGAGGTGGCAGAGGGGACGGTGGCGAGGATCCTCCACCACACCTCCTTCCAGGAGATGAGGAAGAACCCTGCCGCCAACTACGAGACCATGCCCACCACCCTGATGGACCACAGCCTCTCCCCCTTCCTCCGGAAAGGTGGGGTGCGGCCAGTGGTGGAGGGCTTGGGAGGGGTGTCCCTGGTCTGTATTGCAGCCCCCATCCATAGCTGCAAATATTTTGGGAGTGTCAGGATTTGCCCCACTTGCTTTCTGTCCCCCAGGGATATCCGGGGATTGGAAGAACCACTTCACCGTGGCCCAGAATGAGTGCTTCGACCAGCACTACCAGGAGCACATGGCAGGCTCTGACCTCCATTTCCAGATGGAGGCATGAGGGGCTCATCCCTCTTCCCAGGGGGGGCTCTACCTCTCCCTGCTACCCCAGTGGGGAGGGTGGGTCCGGACAGAGGATCCTCACGCCGAATCGTTTTTCCCCCTACAATAAATTGGGATAACCGGAGGGCGAGCCATGGCCTGCGGGGAAAGGTAGGGGGGCTGAATCCCCTGAATCCCTGGCAGCGGCCGGGGGCACCCCCCACGCTCAGCAGGCGGGAGGGTGGGCAGGTGCGGTGGATTTTTAGCTGGTGGTGGTCAGGCATCACCGGGGGCAGGCATCCTCCCAAAAACCACCGCTGGCCCCGACACCTTGGGCCACCCCAGCCCCATCCTACCAAGGCATCTGGAGAGAGCAAAGATCGGTGAAGAGTGGAAAAACCCCAAAGCACTGGTGAACCTGCTGCCCCCGCAGCTCTTGTGTGCGCAGGAGCTTTCACGCCTCCAGGTTGTGGCAAGTTTCTTGACAGAGCGGGCGGTGGCGGGGCTCCTCCCAGGCTCCATGGCGCGGCCGGAGCTCATCAGCCCGGGGTTTGCAGAGCAAAGGTGAAGGGAAACGCCTCCCTGCCAGCGTATTGCCACCCTTGCCAGATGGGGAATCCCACCCTGCGACCTCCGACCCGGCTGTGCCGAGCCCTTGCTCAGGGGTGGCTGGAGCAAACCAGTCCCAGTCCCACTGGGGGCAAAGGTTTGCTTTGGAGCCCCAAATTCCCCAGTTACACCCTGTTTCCAGCCTGTTCTTGAATTTCTTGAATTCATCTTGAAACACAAGATTGCAGCTTTTTGGCAAGGCAGTCTCGTGGGGTTGTTTCATCCCCAAAGAAGTGCAACCTGGATCCAACCCCTGAAGACCAGCAGCGCTATGAGGGGAGTTCTCCCACAGGAATAAATCCTTTCCACACATTTATTTAAATGCCGATGGAGATCCCTGTGCTTCCCCAGCTCCTGGCTTTGCCTGCAGGGTTTGCACGCGCAGCCAATTTTGCTGGCATATGGACAGACAGATGGGCAGGGAGGGTATGTCCCTGCCTGCAGAACACCTGAACTCGGCCCTGGGGACAAATCTGGGACGTTTTTCTCAAGGTTGCAAGCAGGCAAGCTGCTCCCCCTGCCCAGCTGCCATCTCTCCTGCCCTCCCCTCTCCCTCCTGGCTCACGTTTGCCCATGGGAAGCAGGTAAGAAGGAGCATTTCACCACCACCGGCACCTTTAAACCCTTTTCCCAGAAGCATGGTATCAGCTGCACTCGTGCTTTGCAACCCTGCAAACTTTGGACCTGTATTAGAGTGCCTTGAGGGGGGATGACCAAGAGCCTGATTCCCCACATCCCGCTAGCGAGCCCCCGCCAGTGTGAGGAGCTGGGGACGCCCACAGGGGTGACCCCCGGATCGGGACAGGGTGATGTTCAAACCCTCCAGGACGTGGGTTGGGATTTCCTCCCTGCGGGCGGAGGAGGAAGCTGTGATTTCACACACACCCCCCATCTGTGTGTTTACCAGGGGAGTGCTGAGCACGGCACAGCTCATCACAGGCATCTGGGGACCATCCCCAGAGGGGCTGCGTCCCCATCCCTGCTCGCCCCTTCCCTGCACTCCTCCCTCTGCAGTGCCGGGAGCAGGTTGCTCTGGGTCCCTTCCCTAATGATGTCCCCCGGCCTCCTGCAGCCCCAGGAGCCTCCCTGCACCTCCATCTTCCACGCAGGGAAGGGAAAATAACAAATCCGCCCCCCCAGGCTGCGTGCAAAGCTTTGCCTCCTCCCTGCCAGAGCGCCCGACAAAGAGACAGGTACCAGGGAGACCCCTGGCCACAGTCTGGGAACTTGGCCTGCTTTGGGGTGCCCGGCCTCGCAAGCGGAGGGCCTGCGTGGGGGGGCACGGGTGGCTTGGAGGGATTCGGTGTCCCTGCAACCTCCTGGGAGATGGAGGTGAGCCACAAAGCCGGTCTCCAAAAATCACGGTGTGGGGGTTTCGCAGCTGGTATCTCCAGCGTTTCTGTCCTGGCCGGTGGGTGGAAAGGTTTCCCGAGGAGAGTCCTGCAAGCCCTGCTCTCCCTTCCAGTCTCCTTCAAACCCCCATGTAGCCCCCCCAAGCAGGGCTTCCCGGTGCTGCTGTGCAACAGAAAGTCAGGGAAAAAAACACTGGGGAGAAGGGCAGAAAGCGGCTTGAAAGCCCAGCCAGCAAAGCCTCTGTGAGCTTTTACACCCCAGGAAGGGCACTGCCAGCTTGGTAAGGACAGGTGCCCACTGCCTGCACTGACCTGAGCCCCCCAGGGCTGACTGTGCCCCTCCACGCTCCCTGCACTGCCAGCCAGTCCCCAAAATCCCCGCAGGAGGCAGGTGCCACCTCCCAGGATGCCAGCAAGCAGGGGAAGGTTCCCTTCCTGCGGCTGGGATGGCTGGGCTCAGCAGGGATTCTGGGGACCCTGGGGGATGATGTGGCCCTGTGATGCTCACCGCTGCCAGCCAGCCCCTGCACGTGTCCCCGTCGCCAACAGGATGGCCGATTCGGACACCTACCTGCGTCCGCCCTGGCGCATGGTGCACAGCATCCCCGTGGTCAGTGCCTTCGCCCACGACTGGGAGGGGGTTGACACCTTCCAGAGCCGCCCTGAGGACATTGTGGTGGTCACCTTCCCCAAATCCAGTGAGTGTCCCTGGGCACCGGAGCGGGGCTGCACTCAGGAAGGGAGGTACCAGCCTGCAGTCCCCTGGGCTGGGACCCGGGGAGATGCCGAAAGGCAACGGCAGTGGACAGTGCACCTCTGGTGCCCAAGATGGGGCTCTGATGGGAATGGCGCCAGCCGGAAGAAAACTCGTGGGTTGAGATAAAGACAGTTTAATAGGTAAAGCAAAAGCCGCACACGCAAGCAAAGCAAAACAGGGAATTCATTCACTACTTCCCATGGACAGGCAGGTGTTCAGCCATCCCCAGGAAAGCAGGGCTCCATCACGCGTAACGGTTACTTGGGAAGACAAACGCCATCACTCCAAACGTCCCCCCCCTTCCTTCTTCTTCCCCCAGTTTATGTACTGAGGCATGACGTC